TGTTATGTTGTGGCCGCTACCAGGTCATCATAGCGTGCATGCACGTAGATAAATGATTCAGGTTCAGATTAAAGTAAGTTCCACGCAATAGGATTGTATATATCGGGCGCATATATTACTTATAAGTGCCACCTCCAAACTGGAGGTGGCTTTCCGTGATTGAGATAGACGCGGCCGCAGACCCCATTACAATTTACTGGGGTCTGCGTTGGCTCGGACTAGCCACACACTTGCTATGAGCGGTTGTTGAATTACCGACTGTTTTCAGTTTGTCCAATCTTGAGATTGGTCAGTCAAACTAGGGAATCCGAAGTTTGGGCAGCACAATCGCTGCACAATCTCGAGATTGTGCAGATTCCAAATTTGGGTACGACTGTCCAAGAGCCCCGAACAGAATTGAGTCGGAATACGTCCAGTAAAGTAAAATTGCGCGCTATGAAAGAAACACTTCAAACTCATAAACTCACCACATCCCTAATTGGTCATCCAAAAATTAGTGATTAAATGACATCGCCGTACTTTCAGTTAATTTCGTATATTTTCTGTTATGAACGTACCCCATCTTTGATTTTCTTCTCAGAAGAGATCTGTCTTGTAATATATCAACTTAATACAAATAGATCGCTGACATTAAGACATTAGACAACTGCAATATAATTTTAGCATCTTATTTTTATTTAATATTTTTAGTGTTAAAATAAAATTCATAAACATCAAGATATTTACTGCGATATTTTGTCAGTTTCACATGTTTTGATCACATAGGCATTGGCTACTATAGACGGGTACCGTCTCTCCACACATAGATCCATAAAGAGAGTACATGGAGTACGTGAGAATATAGTGTGGAGATATGATCCAGTCTATTGGTAGTAACGCGCCAGTCGAAAGATGGCAGGTGTCGAAGTTGTTTCAGAGCAAGGTTTCAGAACAGATGGTCGTAAACCTAATGAATTAAGGCGTATTCGATGTAAACAGGGCGTATTTTCTCATGCTGATGGATCAGCATATATTGAACAAGGAAATACAAAGGTTCTAGCCACTGTGTATGGCCCACATGAGGTTAGCATAACCGGGTACCCGGTAACCGTTAGGCGTTACTTATCATGAATATGATGCAGGTGTTCGTGTTGTGTACCTACCCAAACTTGGAATTAGCACAATCTCGAGATTGCGCAGCGATTGTGCTGCCCAAACTGCGGATTTCCTAGTTTGGCTGACCAATCTCAAGGGGTTTGTCTATATTCAGGCCGGTACAGGAGATAATTTGCATATTTTCACCACACCATAGACGGTATTTGGGGTTCTTGTATATATAAGATAGCCGAGTCGGTGTACAGTTAGTGTTGGGTTCAGGACAGGTTGACTGTTTGTACTTGTGTGTGGTCTGCAGTGCACGCGTGGTACGGTAAAAATACACGAGTCGGGTGTCCTGGTCGAATGGGAATTCTTGACAATCGATTCCCATGCTGTCAAACTTTTATTGTGGTGGAATTTAATCGGGGCGGAGGTAATTTAAACGGGGCGCAACGATTGAAACAGGGGGGAGTTATCCCAAACGGGGCGCGCGCGCTCCGTTTGCGCAACGTAGAAAGAACCCTGAGACTAAAATCCTCAATGGACCGAAAAAGGGAAATTAACGATCTGCGGTCCTCATGTAAACCAACACTAGATCCGAGAACATGTCATCTAAGGTTTTTCCAAATGGCCCAAACATTTGTGAACATCGTTCCACAAGTTTGCTTTGGTGTGTAATTGACGTGAGAGCCATCGTGCGGCTATTGTACTATTCTTGTAGTATTTTCTAGCGAGTCTTTTCTGTTTCGGGTTTTCCGTGTCTCAATTGTTGAGCATGCACAGTGTAAACATGGCGGGTAAACAATCGTGGAATTTAGTTGATATGCTGTGAGAATTAGCAGATTCTACCGTGAATTAAGAGATACACTCTACTCTAGTTTAGAAGCAGGACAACTGTGACTGTGAGTTAACGTTCATATGTCAAACAAGGCAAGTCAAAGCCAAAGGTGGTAAAACTAATACTAATACTAGAATAGTTGAACTTTTATTTGAGATATACAGAGTTATTCATCTAGATCTGCATACGTGATACGTTTTTTGTATGGAAGCGTGTCAGGCTGTATAGACAATCAGTGGCACAGCCTCGTCGGGCTACCTCACGACGGACAAGTACAGACTAGACTCCACCAGCGAGCCTCCGTGGCCCAGTGGTAGGCATTGTCCACTGAATGCTGCAAGTTCAAACCCCGGCCAGGGCAGTGAATTTTCTCAAGGTGTAAAAACCTGGCTCTCAACATTGGAGACTGTGAATCTCCCGTGGCTCGGATGACCACGTAAAATGGCGGTCCCGTCTCCAGGAATATTACTGGCCAATGGGGACGTAAAAGAACCACTGAGGGCGCAAAAGCACTCTGGCTGTGACCACCCTCAGTGCCATTTGACTAAAATTTGACTACCTGGCTTTACCCAAGCTAGGTAACACCTCATGGCTAACCAAGGCTCAGGGATAGAGAAGATGTCCAGTCCTATCTTATCAACTAACATCATGCTATCCAATCACCGTACTGGACATCATCTCTATCCTTGAACCAACTATAGCCTGTTGCCTCGACGGACTTGCAGCCCCGGTTTTTGCGCGTAGCGCACAGCTCGCGGCAAAGCCGCGCCCCAACAGCGAATACGCCGCCCCCTTTTTGTCCACTTAGACAGATACCTTAGACAGGGGTCTGAAAACGCACTCCGCGAAAACTGGGCGCAATCAAACCGACATTTCGGAATGGACGGCTTGAGGCCATCTCCAAACGGTCCCTAAACTTTTTTTGGAGTGGCGCGCCTCATGGCTAAGACGTAGTGGCTCCTACAAGAAAATTCCAGAAATGCTGTCAATCAGCGATGACGCGCTCGCTCATTGGCCGCTACGCGATGACAGGCGCTACTGCCGAGTATAGTGTTATGTCTATCACAGAGCTTTTTTCGAGTGTGTTACGGCGCTCCAGGTGGGGTGGCTGGAGGATAGTTGCTATCGTCGCGAGACTCGCGCGCGGTGGGCGCCGGGCGGGCTGAGTGTCGGCTCGCGCGCCGTCGCCGGGCGCGGCTGACTCGCTCGTCGTGGCCGAGTTTCCGCAAGTTTGCAGGTGGGGCGGCTGCCGCGGTGTTTTTGGCGGGCACGGGGGCACGTCATCTCACGTTCGGGCTGCCCCTTGCGCTAATCGTGCCCGTCCTGCGCAGGGGGAGGTCGTGCCGCCCCGGGCGAGGCCGGCTGTCGCCCGCGCCGCGCGGACGTTCCCGGCGCTCGCGTGGGGCCTGGCCGCGTGCGCCGGAGTTTGTTGCTAAGCGTAGCGGTAGCCTTTTGGGACGCTGCACAGTGAGCAGCCATGCTAGGAAAGGCAGGCAATCTGCGGGCTGGTCCGCCGGTCCGAGGCGCCACGCGGCCTGCTGGAGCCTCACCAGGCGGGGCGAGCCACCGGAGCCAGCATCAGTCGTTCCGCCGGCCAGGCCGCGGGCGCGCATCGCACGCGCGTGGGGCGGTGGCGGCGCCCTGCACGCCCGCGCGTGTTTTTTTTTTGTTTGTGTGTTCGGCCGGTGTCACCGGGGACATGGGGAGACGCGGGCTGGTCGCTTCTGCGGGGGGCCCTCCGCGTTCGGAGGGTTCGAACTTGAGGCACGGACCCCATGGCCACCGACCGGCAGACTCGCTGCCCGTCGGGCGTGAACCGTTTCCGAATGCAGGCCCTACTGGGCCCGGTGAATCAAGTCGCAGACTGGGCGAGTGCGGCAGCTTGACTGCTTTGCCGCTTATTTTCTTCTGCTGAGTGGTTGCGGCCCTCGGGTGCCTTTTCTGGGGCGGAGGCATGCCGGGCGCTCAGCAACCGCGGCACGAACGGGGTCGGCTGTTCGCGGACCGCACTGTTTGGCGCGAGGAGGTGTAGATTGTCTAGGGCGAGCGTGGAGCGCGCTCGGTACAGTCTACTTTCGACAAAAACGATAAGTAGTGGGCTGCGTCCGCTCGCCAGGGGGCGACATAATTTTGTTCAACTCTCGGCTTGGCCAGGTACACGCGATGCAGGCCCGCGCGCGATTTAAGAGCCTGCGTACGACACTCGGCGCAAGNTTTTGAGGATTTCGTTGACATTAATGTCATTCACTAACTCCTGTTCAGCGAAAAGGAGAATGAGAGCAGAGAATCGTGGCTGGGTCATTGTAGAACGAAGTATAGACTTGACAATGCTCATTTTAGAGAATGTTCGTTCAGCAGATGCAGAAGTAAGAGGAATTGTGGCCAGTCCTGTAAAGACGCGTGAGGCAAGGGAATTTTTTTTTTATATTTTTTTTGCCAATCAGCAGGGGGGGCCATGGCCCCCTTGTGCCCCCCCTTAGCTACGCCAGTGTCAGGAGCGTATAATGACAAATCCGTTTGTCATTATACGCTCCTGATGATATCTATGGAAGCGATGCTCTGCTATGCGCCGAGTGGTGGCGCTAGTAGGCGATTCGTGCTTCGGAGATTTGGCGGTGACTCCCGATTGTTACCGAAGTTTTCGATCGCACCTGGTGCCGAAATACACGATTGGATGTTTGCACAATGAAGCGTACAGTTTCAAAATCGAGAATTGTCAACATCATCAAATCCAAACAATCAAGCGCCAGATTAGGCGAAGTGGTACATACGGCGGTAAGACTATAAGTGTATAAGTCAACTTCAGTGTAGTTAACGCTTAAAAATATTATGCTATGATGCGGGAACCCTTCCGTCTGTTCCTGATGTGATCATGTGGTAGTGGTACAGCCTTTCATAGTCCGCAAATGCAGACGTTATAACTCCGCTTTGGTAATGTGAGGGTGCGGGTTTATCGTCTGCAGTCACCCTTGTAAAAATTGTTCCATTTTTTGTTGTGGGCATTGGATAGGTGAATCGAGTAGCACTGAGGGCGTGACGGGGTTATATCCGACCCAAAATTTCAAGTACAGACCTTCTGTTTGTCAATATCGCTTTCCGAAGACTTATCTCCGTTTCAGAACTTTGTTTTCATGCAATAATTCATCGTAGTCAGAGTAACTTCGATACTTTTGGCCATATTGGACAGATTTTTCGATCGACCAATGAAATTCACTTCCGGTAGCCTCGGGTTCACTCGGAAATAATAATTCGATGGCGCAGACTACCTACGATGTTTCCTGTTGAACATCGGGAATAGCCGAAGTAATCGGAAGTGATTTTCATTGGTTGACAAATGTGAATGAAGACAGAACATTTTCTTTGGATGTTTATATTTACCATTACGTTAACAACTTGATATATTCTTATGTTGTGGCCCCTACCAGGACATCATAGCGTGCATGCACGTAGATAAATGATTCAAGTTCAGATTAAAGTAAGTTCCACGCAATAGGATTGTATATATCGGGCGCATATATTACTTATAAGTGCCACCTCCAAACTGGAGGTGGCTTTCCGTGATTGAGATAGACGCGGCCGCAGACCCCATTACTGTGGTCTGCGTCGGCTCGGACTAAGCCTTTCACTGCAAGTGCAACGTATACAACTCGTGTTCAAGTCACAAACAACACACTGTTACACAGGGATATTGGTTCCTAGGCCTAAAAACAGATCCTTACTTATGAGTGCTCTGAGTGAAGCATGCAGACAGATTTTCGTTTAAGTTTTGTTTTGGTTAAACATGTAAAACTCACTAGAACTTCTAGTAGAAGTGTTTACACATTCCGACCGCAATTACCACCAGTCTACACATAGATGCCTAGAGATACAATAATGTAACCCAAACACAGTATAGGGTTACAACGCGAGCGTATCCTTTTGTGTGGAGGAGCCCCTGAGTGAATCACTCAGGGCGGTTTGCTGTAGATACAATAATGTAACCCAAACCCAGGATAGGGTTACAACGCGTCGCTATGGTTTTCTGTGGAGGAAATTCAGGGAACCCCTGAGTGAATCACTCAGGGCAGTTTGCTGACCAGTGCGTTTTCAGAGACTAGAACTTCCAAACTGGGTTTGTTCTCAACACGCACCTTTCTCCGCTATCTTGGAACTTACTATGTATCACAATACTCTGTATTAAACTAATATAACCTGTTACAAAAATTCGAAGTGACGAGCAGCGGATATATTGAGCGCCATTTCTGTTGACCTGTGACGTACGCATTCCCAATGCGCATAGCGTTCGGCTAACTTCGTCATGACGTCACGACTGACAGCAGGCATCCAATGATACATTCGATGTTGGAGTCGAAGTTAGTCGAACGCTATGCGCATTGGGAATGCGTACATCACAGGTCAACAAAAATGGCGCTCAATATATTCGCCGCTTCTCACTTCGAATTTTTGTAACGGGTTATATTAGTTTAATACAGAGTATTGTGATACATAGTAAGTTCCAGGATAGCGGAGAAAAGTTCGTGTTTAGAATAAACCCAGTTTGGAAGTTCTAGTTTCTGAAAACGCACCAGCAAACCGCCCTGAGTGATTCACTCAGGGGCTCCTCCACACAAAAAGATACGCTCGCGTTGTAACCCTATCCTGTGTTTGGGTTACATTATTGTATCTAATAGATGCCTAATAATATTATGGACCATTACGGCATTAGTAATATGGAATTTAGAACGTAAATGTGACAAATTTCATAATTATTATGATGTACTGTACCTATATATTTAGTCACTAGTTTTAGTATTAAGAAAACAGAGAAGTTAGATGAGTTTAGCCAATATGTAGGCAAACATGCTAAGTGCAATAATAAATTGTAACTTTATCTGTTCATGTTTGTAATCAGTAGTCCTTCTCTTGCAGATCTTTCTAAACTACATATTATTCCTAAAGAGGCTGGCAAAGCAATCAAACGAAGCGGCAATGGCCGATAAATCCATGACCCTGACAGCAAAATATGTAAAGTCTTCTGCGCAATCCACATACGATTCGTTGCGCGGATGACAAGCGAATCGGAAGTATCCCGATTTCTCATTGACTAGATCACCGAAGCAAATCTAGGTTGTAACACATGACTGTATCAGACAGCAGCTTGAATTCCTGCGTTCTTTCGGCGGCGAATCTTTAATCGGAATCCGTCGGAAGGTTTCGACGCGCGCACATCTCCGCCCCATTGTGATGTGAAGCTATGATACGCCGACTCGCACGTGTAGCGGGCCACGCCTGCGCTAGACGATCATCCGTCGCAACAACGCAGCCACGGCGTGCGACCGGTGACGTTAACGACCACCGCTGCGGCGGCGTCGCCGATTTCGCAACTTTCGCGGACGTGCTCCGGTCGCCATGTTGAATCAAGCGGCGGTGGAGGCGTTGTATTCGGCGGCCTACCTCGACGACTATGTCGACTGCATGGAGTTTCTTCCTAATGAGCTTCAGCGTAGCATCACACAGATGCGAGAGCTCGACCTCAAGTACCAGACGCTGCTGCGCGAGATGGAGCAACACTTGCAAGTGTTCAGGTGAGGCGAGCGCGGGGGTGGACAGGTGTTCAGGTGAGGCGAGCGCGGGGGTGGACAGGTGTTCAGGTGAGGCGAGCGCAGGGGTGGACAGGTGTTCAGGTGAGGCGAGCGTGGGGGTGGACAGGTGTTCAGGTGAGGCGATTTATACGCTCCTGATGATATCTATGGAAGCGATGCTCTGCTATGCGCCGAGTGGTGGCGCTAGTAGGCGATTCGTGCTTCGGAGATTTGGCGGTGACTCCCGATTGTTACCGAAGTTTTCGATCGCACCTGGTGCCGAAATACACGATTGGATGTTTGCACAATGAAGCGTACAGTTTCAAAATCGAGAATTGTCAACATCATCAAATCCAAACAATCAAGCGCCAGATTAGGCGAAGTGGTACATACGGCGGTAAGACTATAAGTGTATAAGTCAACTTCAGTGTAGTTAACGCTTAAAAATATTATGCTATGATGCGGGAACCCTTCCGTCTGTTCCTGATGTGATCATGTGGTAGTGGTACAGCCTTTCATATTCCGCAAATGCAGACGTTATAACTCCGCTTTGGTAATGTGAGGGTGCGGGTTTATTGTCTGCAGTCACCCTTGTAAAAATTGTTCCATTTTTTGTTGTGGGCATTGGATAGGTGAATCGAGTAGCACTGAGGGCGTGACGGGGTTATATCCGACCCAAAATATCAAGTACAGACCTTCTGTTTGTCAATATCGCTTTCCGAAGACTTTATCTCCGTTTCAGAACTTTGTTTTCATGCAATAATTTATCGTAGTCAGAGTAACTTCGATACTTTTGGACATATTGGACAGATTTTTCGATCGACCAATGAAATTCACTTCCGGTAGCCTCGGGTTCACTCGGAAATAATAATTCGATGGCGCAGACTACCTACGATGTTTCCTGTTAAACATCGGGAATAGCCGAAGTAACCGGAAGTGATTTTCATTGGTTGACAAATGTGAATGAAGACAGAACATTTTCTTTGGATGTTTATATTTACCATTACGTTAACAACTTGATATATTGTTATGTTGTGGCCGCTACCAGGTCATCATAGCGTGCATGCACGTAGATAAATGATTCAGGTTCAGATTAAAGTAAGTTCCACGCAATAGGATTGTATATATCGGGCGCATATATTACTTATAAGTGCCACCTCCAAACTGGAGGTGGCTTTCCGTGATTGAGATAGACGCGGCCGCAGACCCCATTACTGTGGTCTGCGTCGGCTCGGACTAAGCCTTTCACTGCAAGTGCAACGTATACAACTCGTGTTCAAGTCACAAACAACACACTGTTACACAGGGATATTGGTTCCTAGGCCTAAAAACAGATCCTTACTTATGAGTGCTCTGAGTGAAGCATGCAGACAGATTTTCGTTTAAGTTTTGTTTTGGTTAAACATGTAAAACTCACTAGAACTTCTAGTAGAAGTGTTTACACATTCCGACCGCAATTACCACCAGTCTACACATAGATGCCTAGAGATACAATAATGTAACCCAAACACAGTATAGGGTTACAACGCGAGCGTATCCTTTTGTGTGGAGGAGCCCCTGAGTGAATCACTCAGGGCGGTTTGCTGTAGATACAATAATGTAACCCAAACCCAGGATAGGGTTACAACGCGTCCCTATGGTTTTCAGTGGAGGAACCCCTGAGTGAATCACTCAGGGCGGTTTGCTGTAGATACAATAATGTAACCCAAACCCAGGATAGGGTTACAACGCGTCGCTATGGTTTTCTGTGGAGGAAATTCAGGGAACCCCTGAGTGAATCACTCAGGGCAGTTTGCTGACCAGTGCGTTTTCAGAGACTAGAAC